TTAGCTAGCGTAAAAATTCGTCATCGTTTTACGTACTTCATACAGGATGTGCTTTTCGTAACAAATTATTTGCACAGTATTTATATTTTTTCAAAGTTACATCTCTACCTCATGGTATGTTCAGAAAATTCATATGTTAGATTTAATGTCAGTTCTATGGAATGCACAGTAAAAATAATATATTTTCAGTAACGATGTATGTATGTATGTATGTATGTATGTATGTATGTATGTATGTATGTATGTATGTATGTATGTATGTATGTATGTATGTATGTATGTATGTATGTATGTATGTATGTATGTATGTATGTATGTATGTATGTATGTATGTCGGAGGGTGGTGGAATTGTTTTTCCACCGCGGCACTTAGGCCTTATTAGCCCACGTGTACACCCTCCTTAATTACTCGAGTACTTTTCTTCAAACCATCCTATTTACTACAGGGGTGGCTTGATGGCAAAGTCTCGTACAGTTTTATGTATGATAGCATGGTCTTGAGTTACAGAGATTTTCTTTGCTCTGTTCTCATTACCATTTATCGGGGACCACACGCATGCGGAAAATGTTGAGCGACCCAGGTCTCTGGTAGGTTGCCACAGCCACGTCCCCGAGCCTGCCTTAGGTCACCCATCCAAATTCCAGCCTGTGTCCGTGATGCTTGACTCGGCAGATCGAAATCCACCAGCCAAGACACCCGGCTAGGCGGTCCCCTTTCAGTAACGATATCTTTAAAATAAATTTTCTGGTATTTTGCTTTAAAACTACACTGGAAAAGAATCGGTGTAAGTGAAAGTAATAAAGGTTCGGAGTGAATCTATTGAGTGTAATTATTGAGTACATTTCCACTCAATATCGGGGATTTTGATCATTTTACTCATTTGTGATTATATTTAAACTAAAATTGAATACTTTCATTCAAATATAGGTACATACTTCTTAAATAAATTATTCACGTAAACTCGTATTTGGTGCACTTGTGCCTAAATCAGAGTAAATGTCCTTACTAAGTGATCCCACCCTTTTTCATATCCAGATGTGTTGTCTTTGTTCCCATCGTCCCTTTAGGTTATCTCGTGACCGTGGCGTGGTTGATGGCAGTATGGCGTTTGGTGTGCTTTGGACTTGGACAAGTATCAGTTTATCTGGTTATTCTAGTAAAAATTGTATGTATTTAAATTTAATTACAATAAATAAACGGATAGTTAAATTGTTATCTAAAATTACGTATTTGTAACGTACATTATGGCAATTTATTCGTCCGATCAGTTCACCAATTTCTTTAATCGAGACCTAAAATGTTGTCTCTGAAACAGATCTGTGTAGAAACCACTGTGGCAGCTTAGTAGTTTATGACTTTAATACAAGGATATTTAAATTAAAATTTAAAGAGAATGTAAATCAAGTCTGAGTAAAAAATTACTTACTGTTGGTTAAATTTATATTAGAGAAAAAGTCAACGTTTTATATACTCATAATAGAGTCAAAAGTCACTCGATTGATAGTTAGCAGTAACTCGGATTTGAGTAAAACTCACTCATTTTTGATGCAATAATTTCACTCAGTTGTACTCATACTAATAGTGTGAAAATTTCACTCAATCAGGTGTGGACAGAAATTGATATATTATTGAGTAAAATTGACTGAAATTTGAGTGAATTTTTTTTACAGTGTAGATTAGCTAGGTTAATTCGGCATAGTTTGCGGTTAGACAAAATGTAGCGAGTGAAGATTGTGAAAATTCATTACAAGTACGTAGAGTGTGTAGCTGAGACTGTGGAATTTTCGGTAGAAGGAACATCCCCAATGAAACTATGGAAACATTAGTTGCCAAATTTGCACAAACCGGTTAAGTTTCAGACAATAAAAAACAGGGTGACCTCGTACTGACCGTTCAATCGAAAATATTGCTACGGTGAGTGATAGTGTGACGGAAAACAAATACCATTCCTGAATTAAAGGCTGAGATTTGGAGAGTTATCAACGAAAATCAACCGCAGCTATACGAAAACATGATACAAAATTTTCTTAAAAGAAGTGGGGTATCCAAATGAGTCTTCAAATGAATCTCCCGAAAAAAAAATCAAAGATCAAACAGAATAAATTAATAAAGATTAAAATTTTTCTTGACTGCATAACCTTTTTTTTTAGTAAGATAAATGAATAAAAATTTTCGTTTTAAAAATGTCTCTCAGTTTTCTTCTTTAAGAATATATAGAAATTATGCCAATAAAATCTTTTTTCTCATGAAATCCTGCAGTTCTTTTGGGACATCTTTTATTTTAATTGTTGTATAATTGCGATATATTCCAAATTAACACTACTTATGTATTATACTTAGCATCCAGTATTCACCTACACTGCAAGTAAAGCAAAAATACTGAATCATTTGTTAGTGTGCATAGATTTACTAAATTCCTAAATAAAAAAATCTCTCCTTAAATAAATATTCCTAAATTTGGGCGAGAATAAAGCGCCTTCATTTTTGACATGTTGTAATGTCACGCTCTATATAGGCCAGGAAATATAGAGTTGGACGCGACTTTTTGTTTCGGCAAGCTGAATTTATCACTATAGATGCTAAATATTATGTACAATAACATATTAGTTTCCACAGTCATAAAAATGGGGGGAAGATTGTTTACAGGGTGGTTAATTGTTTAACTTTTTTTCATTAATTTCCATGAAAAAACAGTAAAGTACTTTTTTTTCGTCTTCAGAAGACCTACAAAAGTAGTCCTCGAGCGTCAAAAAATATTAATTAGATCAAAAGTTATAAACAGAAGAAGTTTATTTATGACTTTTGAATTAAACATTTATAAACTGCGTTATTATTACCAGAACGTTTTGGCATCGCATTCTCTCATTTCTTATCACTGTCTAATAACTCACACGAAATCTAGAATCGGTAAGTTGAATAGTTTACAAGTTATGGCCTTATAAACAAATTAACTAATTTATTAGTCTGGAGGATCTTGAGCATCTTCCACAATCGCACTGATTTTTATCATGGTAGATTTCATAATAATACATTGAAATCTATAATTTTTTTTTAAATTTCAAATTTGCAGATTGGAATTTTTTTTATTTTTTAGCCTTGGTTGCAAGTATTACATATTTGGAAAGCTTAACAAAAGAGTTTTAAGTTAAAAAAAACAACGGAGTTACAGACAGTCTAATATATTATTTTCAAGCGAATGTCGCTTTTTTAACGGCAGGACTATGAATATTATCGTCATTTTCTTCGGACACGCTGTCGTTCGCTTCCCCCACCCTTCCGCCGCACCACGTCTCGCCGAAAAATCAAGCGACCCACTGACTTTTGACAATATTTCTTATGCACTTAACATACTTCCACAAATAAAATATTTTTATCTGGGAAAGTACTCGGGTTGCCGGTTATGACAGTATTTTTTTGCCGCTACCAACCTAATTTGTTTAACAATAGGCCGTCAACTTTGACAGTCTGTAACTCCGTTGTTTTTCAACGAATCTTGACAATTTTTTTTTAACTTAAAGCTTTTTTCATAAGCTTTCCGAATATGTAATAATATATAACTATATCACGAGCATGCGTCGTATATTTCATTTTGCAACTAAGGCTAAAAAATAAAAAAACTTTCGAGGTTGCAAATTTCAAATTAAAAAAAAAAATGATAGATTTCAATGTATTATTATGAAATCTATCATGAAAAAAATCAGTGCGATTGTGGAAGATACTCGGGATCGTCCAGACTAATAATTAGTTAATTTGTTTATAAGGTCATAACTTGTAAACTATTCAACTTACCGATTCCAGATTTCGTATGAGTTATTAGACAGTGATAAGGAATAAGAGGATGCGATGCCAAAACGCTCTGGTAATAATAACGCAGTTTATAAATGTTTAATTCAAAGGACATAAATAAATTTCTTCTGTTTATAACGTTTGATCTAATCAATATTTTTTGACGCTTGAGGGCTAGTTTTGTAGGTCTTTTGAAGGCGAAAAAAAGTATCTTACTGTTTTTTCGTGGAAATGAACGGAAAAAGTTATAAGCGAAAAACGTAAATTTACGTAAAAATTATACAATTAACCAGCCTGTAAACAATCTTTCCCCCATTTTTATGACTGTGGAAATTAATATGTTATTGTACATAATATTTAGTGATTCCCAGCTCTTTTTCCTGGCCTATATACATGCACAAGAAACTCACATAAATATTCCTAGTGTGTTACAATCTTAACATTTATTCTTACCTGAATGTTGGATATTTTCCAAAGTTAATTATATATTACCTAGTTTATATAATTTTCTCTTATATTTTTAAAAATTAGTTTGTAATCATAACATCTCGTATACAACTTTAAAATTAACATAAAATAAGGTTGTTAATCACACGAAAAAAAATCATGCATGTTATATGGAGTTAGTGATTAAGTAATGCAGAAGGGCCAACCAACCTCTACGAAGCAAAAACCCTTGAGCTAAAGTGAGTGTCGCGTCAATCTCATGCAACAAGCTACTAGACTGCGCTCTTTTTTTGCTTAGGACCCTATTGACTCTCTTCGCCTCTTTGTAATACTTTCTTCTGCAAACGCATTTCCCAACACCTAATTAACAAGGTAGTTATTTAAAGAAATTATTTTTTAATTAAATTGTAACTTCACTGGTCGTTTGAAAGTTGGGATACAGTAATTATAGTGCAGGTTACAATTCAAAAAATTATATATTGTGTGCTGGATCGTCATTTCCTGAAAGCAATAAATAGACCGAGAAAACGATAGTTCATTCGCTTTTGCGGCGGACTGTACACAGTAACCTATTTTAAAATTTTAATTTTAGCCACTACTGATTCTGTTTTTACGCCTTCAACGCGTGATGGGAGCTCGCATTAAGTCAAATGGCGAGTCATTAGAATAACGTACGAGTATAAGCAGCTAGACTTTTTGGTTATTTATTAGTGAGAAAACTGACAGTTGTTACACAACTTTACGACATGAAGACACTCTGACTCACCATCGGCATCGTCGGCAACCTGTTTAGTCATCGAAACGAACTCCTGCAGGTGTTTCGGTAACTGTTTGGCCCCCTTCAGCTTATCGCCGTCCATCACTAGTACGGGCTCCTCCTCGTCCTTCTCCTTATCTAAACTACCCTCCCTCCCCACACTGTCTCTATTTTTCCCCAGTTTTCCTTGATCTTGCTTCTGTTTGACTTTCTCCAGAAACTCCTTTTCGATGTGTATTGGGTGGATTATCTCCTTACCGCGTACGGATTCGTTGTTCTCCGTGTTGTTGTTGTCGTCTTTGCTCGATGTCACTTTGATTACCTTATTCTGTTTCCTGTCTTCGCGTTCCGCGAATTTATCCATGTACTCCTCGTACATCTGTTGTCTGAAAAACTCGGTCGGCATAGCCGGCATCGAGGCGGGCCTAGGGGCTGAGTTCTTATTTTCCGCGAAGTCGCCCCTGCGGGAGAAGCGGTAGTCTTCCGCCTGGAACTGACGAGAGGGCGCCATGTCCGCACTCAGTTTTCGCTTCTCGTCCTCCAACTGTTCCAACTGGCGTTGGATTTCTCTTTCTTTTTCTTGCAAGTAGATCATTTGGCGCTCGTAGAGGTCGTACGGCAGCGAAGTGCGACGTCTTGGTGTGGGTTGTGCATTGAAGTCCTTCCTCAAGTTATTTTCAGGAATATCCGTGGCGCTGCTCAGATTGCTCTCGCTCATGCTTTTATTGCGGGCTAAACTAAGCCATTCCGACAAGTTCTTCGCTTTTAGTCTGGCGCTTTCCGCGTTTCGGACTCTGGGAAGAGTCGCGCTTATATCCACCGGCTCCTTTTCCACGAAGTAAAGGTAATTCTCCTCGTTCGTTGAAGGCTCCTCTCGAATAATTTCCAGGAGCCTATTCCCAGTTGGGCTGGTTACAGAAACATTTCCGGTGCTGTTGCTAATACTTGTTATTGTAACCTTCTCCTCTGCCTCTTTCCTTATTTCCTCTTGATGTCTCCTATTCACGAACTTCTCGTGCAAATCTATTAACTTGCCTGCTTCGTCCGTAACCGGTTTATTTTTTTCTAGTTCCTCTTTTTGCTTTGGCGACACGCACATCAGCAGTTTTGGATCTTTTTCCGTAGGAATGCCCACCCATTCTTTCGCTATGGGCATTGTTCTGACTGAAAGTTTACAAGAATCATTATTAGGGTCTGACTCTGGTTTATTTACAAAAGCCGGTAGATTAGGAATTAGTTTGGGAAGGATTTTACTGGGAAGGTTATTAGTGTACGATTCGATACTCTCCGAGACGTCTGCTAATTCCTGCAGAACGTCCGCACCGAAGGGGAGGGTTAAGAGGGAATTCAAGCAAATTTCCCTTAGGGCCAGGGGCTGAAACTGTGGAATCTCCTTGTTTAGGTCTTCGTCTTTGGCGATTGACGTGACGTCCGCTATAGATGAGTTCAGTGGGTTGTATTTGGCCGTGCAAAGTGAGCTGTCCACACTTGAACTGCTGCTCATCGACGGAGATCTAGATGGTGGCGGAGGACTGATGACGTTGGTGTATATGATGTCATCTTTCTTTACGTTCTCTTCCTTCGAGAGAATTTTACTTTTGTCTGCGTATTTCTTGTATGCACTTGTTTCTCTATTTGGTATTGGAATATTCGGTAGTTCGACTGAGTTTTGTTTTATTTCGGAACTGATTGCTTTTTCTGTAATTTCAATTTTGGTCTCCTTTTTATTTATATCAGTGTCACGACTCTGAGTTGTGTGGTTAGTAGCGGAATCATTCGTACCATTAAGACTTTTGGCATTTCCGTGGTTAATGGTTACTTCTTCAATTCTACAAGAGTCAGTCTCGACAAAGCAAGGCAAGTCATTTATTCCGTTCTTTGGTGACATGTTGTCAGGTGTGGGGGGAGGGGTTAGTTGAGAGAGTATTCCACTTTCTATTATCTTTTGTTTCGTGTCGGTTTCTTTACTGGATTTGTCGCACTTAACGACGAAACTACACTTCGTAGATTTAGAAGTTGTAAGAGTTTCGTTTTCTCCGGATAGTTCTCGACGGGTTTCTTGATTACCGTTGTCCTTTCTACAGATAACAGTAAAATTACTCTGAACATTAATTTTTTCCACAACTGGTTCATTTTTTACACCTACATTATTGTTAATTTGAGCTCTGTTTATTATAACATTACTATAAATCGGAGTGGCTTTGTTAACAGGTATTCTATCAGTCTTTTCTGTAAGTTTAGTTGATATGTTACTTGTCTTTTCCTCACTTTTATTAATCCCTTCGAAGTTACTGATATCTTCACTACTTTTTCCTACCGTATCGCTCTCACTTGAAGAGATTCCATTAACTATTATTTCCTCTTTGGATATCTCTTCGTTACTGGTACTTTTCTGTGAATCCAAAGTGTAACTGTCGTTACTGGCACTGTCGCATTCGGCTGGGGAATTGCTTCCTGTGGAATCAAGGTAGACCACTTCAACAGAAGAAGTAGCTTCAGCCGTTTTGCTGGTGCTGAAATATCCTTCTGTGACCGTAGGGTTATCTACTATTTTTGTATCTACCAACACAGCAGGAGCTTGCTGGATGGGTGTCACGTAGTTTTGCAACAACGTCCGTCTTTTGTTTTTATGTAACCTTGGTGGTGGGGCTGGAGGTTTATCTTTATCGGGTATTTCCGTCTCAGGGGTGCCCCGTTTTAAATGTTGGGTTAGATCTGGTTGATCCCTGTCGCTGTCCCTGTCGCTGGGTTCTTCGCTGATGGCGTCTAGGTATCTCGGGTTTTGTGATATCGGTAAAAAGTATTGCTCGAGAGCTGCCCTTTTTTGGGACTTTTTTACTTTTATGTTTTCCGTTCCTCTTTCGCTAGCGTATTTAGCGGCTTCCTCGGGTCCGCTCACTAGATTCAGCCCCTCTAGGAAGTTTCTAAGCTTTTGTTCGTCCTCGGGGGACATTAGCGCGGTTTCCTCTGAGTAATACTCTTCGAGGGTTAAGGACAATGAGCTTAAGGTGCCTTTCGGAGGTTTCTCTGCCTTTGAGTCGCTCACTTCAGATTCGCTCTCAGATGCTTCACTTACGATCGCTTGGGTGTCTTTATCTTCTGATTCGCTTGTTTCGGAAAGTTCTTGGATTTTGATCATTTCATCGTCGTCTAAGCTTTTGCTCTTGACTGGAATTTTGCTGAGTTTCGGTTTCTTCTTTGTTATTTCTACGGGGGAATCTACGCGGTAGTTCACTTTAATTTCTTCTACGTTTTTAGATTCCACAGCTACGTTGTCTATATTATCACAGTTCGGTGGGTTAATATCGTTGTTGTCGTTCTGGCTATCGCTAAGTTTGCGATTTTTTCGTCGCTGCCTGCGCTTTTTGGACTTTGAGGTAGCGTTACCGTTATCGCTCATATTATCTGGGGTATTTTCGAAATGGGGGTGCTGATTCGGTATGGAAGTGGAACCGCTACTGTTTCCTACGTAAATCGTATTTCATATTATGGTTGGAAGCTTATGCCGAAGGAACACCGATAAAACACCGAAAATGGGGTGGTAAGCGGGTTAATGGGATCCGAGAAGTGTTACAGTGCTTTGTACCTGATCTTTGAGTAAGTCAATATCGTCTACAAACTTTGCCCTTTAGAAGAGACAGAATTGTTTTCTTATGAACGGAATATTTTGCTTTGGATATCATTTATGTCATAGCAATTAATCTCTTCCTTCGAGTTTTGCATACAGAGCAGCCAATAAAATAAATACAAGTATAAATATTACTAATCACCGTTTTGAAATAGAAAAATTAAAACTATTTATCATATCCCTGTAATCGCCTCTAAATAAGTATATACTGATACGTTTATCTCTTGCTAATACGATATTCAATTGTTTCTGTAACAAAAGTATCAAAAATCAAAAAGCTTCCTATAACTTTCAGTCTTAAACTTTTTTTTTCTGATTTTGAAGGTCGAACCGTATTAGTGTAATATCTATTATATACATAATGCGACTTCAAACAATTTTGGATGAATAAAATTATTCAAATTTTCCTTCAGTGTTTAATTACATGTCTTTTTATGAGAAACTAGTCAAGGTTATTGAAATCGGCGTCTCAAAACAGGAAAATACAATAATTACACAAACAAATTTCGGAATAGGATGAATACACAGGGTGTGTGATGAAGAATGTGACTACTTCAATAGTACCGCTAAGTTGATAGCAATATCTGTCTTGTTATTCGCCTTATTTTTTGCTGATTGCGTTTTCTCAAAATCTTTGAAACGGTTGAAATTTCATTGAAATCCAAAAAGTTAAACAAATTTTTTTTCGGGAGGTCGATAACTTTTTAAGGAATAAAATTGTACTAAAGTAACTTAGGGTTTACTTTCACTTACTGAAGTTACTACTAAAAGATTTCATATTGTACTGATCTATGAATGACTTTCTTTTTATATTTCAAACAGGTAATCCATTCTTAAGAGCGACGTTTTATCTATATATTTATCTACTTCCGTAGACATAGGGATCCCATATAATATTTGTCAAACAATATTTATTTTATTGTCATTGAGGACCAGAACCAACGAAAGATTAATATTATTTCATCATACCGAATTTTTTTCTATGTATTAAAAATATTTTGTGAAGAGTTACCTCTTCAGAAAATACTTTTGTGCTATGCCAAATTCTATATTTGGCAAAATGTTTGTTTATTCCATTTTTAACTTTTATTGTCAGTGAAATACTCGATAAAATGAAACTACTAATTCGATGTTACGATATCTTTTAAAATTTGCACATAAAAAGGTTGAATTTCTGTTCTTTAAAATTTATTTCATTGCAGATAATGCTTGTGAAGTTTATGCAAATTTTAGACTGGAAATTTATTTATACTTTGTAAACAATGCATAATCTCTTATTACGTAAATTATATAAATAGACATACCAGTATATTAAAAAAATATATATTGGAAACTGTTGATCTTGAAATTTATTTATCATTAAAAATTGCAAAATTAAATATAAATGTAATAAAAGAAACCGCACGAATATTTTAAATAATTTGTTTTATAATGATAATAACGATATTTATAGCTGTGTTATAAAAATATGAAAATTGCAAGATTAAAAGATATAATGTACACTAGAGAATTTATACACGAGTAGGATGAATAAAATCTCGGGTAGAATTTATACATTTTTTTGACCTGAAGGTACAATATCATCACATCCATAGATCTGAATTGATTATCCATTTGAAAAGATAAAATAATAAGAAGATGCTTTATTTTTTTCGTATGGTATACTTCAGTAAACATAGAAATCTAACTAAAAAAGATACATTTGGAACGAATACATTGAAGATGAATTTTTCGAGACAAAACGTCTGAATCTGGTTCGGGCTGAGGCAGTACAGTATTGGGGGCCATGAAGGCTTGCAAAAAAATGTAATAAAATTTCCAGGGTCGTATTTACAAAAATGAAGTTGATGATGGTCCTGGAGAGACGAAACGTTACATATAAAAATTGATTATGCCATTTGATAGAGGGTAAAAAGTGTTCTTCTTTTTTCAATATCACCTCAAACAAGGCTGGAATGAAACAAAAACGGATTTCCAAAATTTTGTTTTTTTTTCAAATATTTCGAAAACTAATCGTGTTAGCCTTGATTTTTTAGAGGCATAATGTTGGTCCCCTGATTATGCAACTTTGCCCCCATTTAAGCTACTTCGTATCTCTTACCGTTTCCGAGATCCCTGTAGTGAGAAGCGAATTTGTAACAGCCTGTATATAAATATAAAACGGATCGCTTTAGAAAAATTATAGGTAAAAGATCCGAGCTGATATAAATAACAGTTTTTTTTTTCTATATTTTTTTATTGGATGGAATTTGTAGCGTCAATTTATTTATTTAAAAAAATAAAATAAATTCCCTTTCAGCTATTTCAGTTTAAAACTAATATAAACTAGGCGGTATCTGTTTTGGTTTGGATGAAACGTATATCCAGGGAGATTTTTGGCTTTTTGGCTTTCAAATATCACTAGAAATGAAAATTTTTCTATGCGCATAAAAAAACGTGGGCTTAACTTTTGGCGGCACAATATGTTAAAAAAAATCGAAAAATGTCATATTTTTCTTCCTATTTAATTATGTATCTTTTCAAGAGTTGATATTAGGCGGAAATGGAAAAGGAAAAAAATGTTTGTAATAAAATTTTTTACAAAATATGACTAGTTACAAATCGAATGAATTATTATTATTATTGTAAAAATCGAAAAAATCGTCAAAAATTGGGTTAAAATACATTACTTTTTAGGGAATTTTTTTGGGATCTTTAAATCGGGTATAGGACCTTCATACTTGGCTCAAGAAAACTTAATGTTATGTATAATCACCACACCAAAATTCATCAAAATCGTTTCTATAGATTTTGCATAATAATTTTGCAATCCAAATTTAAAAAAAAAATTGCAAATTTTAAAAATTTTGCACAGTAAAAACCAAGGCCCTTTAATCACATATAGATGGGCTCTCAAGCTTTCAAACGCTTTTTGAAAAATTCGAATCCATCAATTAAGAGAGCTCTGGCGCTTGTTTAAACATTGGTCGAATTTTTGTACTTATAAACAATTAGAATAACTTTGTGAATATTCAACCAAATCAATTTTTTTAAAATAGATTTTAAAAATTCTTGGAAAGACGCTTCTTTAAAAAAGAAAACAGATCGATTGGTCAATTAGTTACGTAGTTATAGCCAATCAATGTTAAGCATGGTTTGAAGTACTGCGAATAGTGCACACATTGTCAAGGGCAAATGTGCAAAAAATGTTCAAAATTTCACAGAAATCGATGACGAAATCGATTCGATCGAAGAAGTAGGAGTAGAAGCAGAAGTAGATAGCGAGAATGAGGTGTTAGACAACGCGGAAATTAATAATTATTTTGAGTTTGAAAATGAAGAAGTTGATGAATATAATTTCGAAGAAGAAAACGAAATCCCATGTAAAAAAGTTCGATTAAATTCTTAATATATATTTTTATACATATAAATAAATATGATATACATTCATAAATTTAAAACAAAAATTTGTGTACATTTTTTGATTTGGTTGAATATTCAGTTATTCTAATTGTTTATAAGTACAAAAATTCGACAAATGTTTCAACAAGCACCAGAGCTCTCCTTATTGACGGATTCGAATGTTTCAAAAAGCATTTGAAAGCTTGAGAGCCCTTCTATATGTGATTAAATTTTCAAGTATCTAAGGGCCTTGGTTTTTGCTGTGCAAAATTTTGAAAATTTGCAAATTTTTTTTCAAAATCTGGATTGCAAACTTATTATGCAAAATCTATCGAACCGATTTTGATGAATTTTGGTGAGATGATTCTACATAACATGAAGTTTTCTTGAGCCAAGTATGAAGGTCCTATACCCAATTTAAAGGCCCCAAAGAATTCTCTAAAAAGTAATGTTTTTTAACCCCATTTTTAGTGATTTTTTCGATTTTTATATTTTATTCGATAATAATCTTGATTCATTCGATTTGTAACTAGTCATATTTTGTAAAAAAATGAATTACAAATATTTTTTTCCTTTTCCATTTTCGCCTAAAATCATCTCTTGAAAAGATACATAGTTAAATAGTAAGAAAAATATGACATTTTACGAATTTTTTAAACATATTGTGCCGCCAAAAGTTAAGCCCACGTTTTTTTATGCGCATAGAAAAATTTTCATTTCTAGTGATATTTGAAAGCCAAAAAGCCAACAATCTCCGTGGATATACGATTCATCCAAATATGTACTTTTTGAAACAGATACCGTCTGGACTAATATTGATTAACTTAAACTACCTTGCTCAAAATTAAAAATGGAATATTGCAAAGAAATTACTAATTACGATTACTAATTACGAAATTTTCAACGCATTTTAGTAGAGAACCAGAATTACGTTCGTGACTGATGCATTTTTAAATTGCCGCAAATTCCGCTTCCTCCGAACATTTCATCGTCCGTTGTAGTCGTATCACAGGTATAAAAATAAACCTATAATTACAAGCAAACACGTCACCTTGGGAAAAATACTAGAATATGCCTTCGAATACATCAAACTTAACAAGCACTGTAACATTTCCCGTAAGGTCGCCGGGGTCACTTGGGGGGTAAGGGTTGTTAATATACCAGCGCCACATTTTTACACTAAAACCACTGGGATGCACTTGAGCGCGGTTAACAAGCGATTAAGATTTTTAAACAACAGGTAAGTGTGTTTAGGTGGATATCACCTAGGTACGCGCTAGCAAAATGTGAATTTTTAAAACATAGGCGTCTCTTGGCGCGGGTCTACCAGCTCTTGGTTCCTGGCGTTGGTTCGCGACGGGTCTGTGTACTGAAGAAACACATGGGAAAAGCAAATATGTTTACAGCTCTTATCAGCGATATAGTTATTATTTATTGTAGTCTTATGAGCGGATAAGTGAGATTTACGTACGACGTGGTGGAGATTTTATACCAGGGTCGCGCGAAAGTAATTTCATAGTGATTGTAATTATTTAAATTGTACAGGGTGTCCCTAAAAGGTCTTTACAACGTTCTACCAGATACAAAATAACTTGCCTTAGTCTAAATATTGATAATAACGGAGTTACAATGTGTCAAAGTTGAAAAAATATAAAAATAACACACAAGCGATCATTAGCACGCATTTACACTGTCAAAACTTCTTCGTGTCACGGTGTATTTCACTTTGGGCTGGAAAAATCTTTGGCCTCAATTTTTCTGCTTAAAAAAGGTATACCCTTATGTCTCTCAAGCTAACCGCTTTTAAAAAGGTGTTTAAATTTGTAAATTAATAAAAGAATTTGTTTAAAAGTTATTTTCAACTCCATTGAAAAACATATCTTTTAAGACACGACAATAATAATTACTTACTTTGTTGATTGGTTATACAGGGTGTTTCTAAAATAGGGTTCCAAACTTCTGCTGCGTTTAAAACTCATTAAAATAAGCCAAAAAGTTCCTATTAACATGTGCCCTAAAACGCACCCTTAGGAAGTTATATGCCCCTTAAAAGGGCTCAAACAAAACTTAAATTTTCCACTCACCACTTTTACTAATTAAACACTGCAAAGTTCAATTGACAGTTTATCAGTAACTTAAATTGTTAAGCGTTGTGGCAACGTCAGTCTTTTATTTGCCATAATAAACAGATTTTTGTAATTTCTGGCCTAATAACTTAAAGAGCAGAGTAATTTTCAAACTCAATTTACTCGAAAACCATTGGAAATATCGATTTGGACAAAGATAATATTTTTTACGTAAAATTTTATAAATCTGTAGAGAAAATTGTAAAAAAATTGAAATAAAAAAATTACGGGCCGAAAACCCCCTTCACCAACCTAAATGGGACGCATATGATTTGCATGTCGAAAAACAGAGTAGCCCATGTTATTTAATGTAAAAAGTTATGTAAGACCCATAAATTTTTTGCTATTTATTTGCGACCGTTTTGTCAATAACAGAAAAAAACAGTATTGTTTGAGCCCTTTTAAGGGCATATAACTTCCTAAGGGTGCGTTTTAGGGCACATGTTAATAGGAACTTTTTGGCTTATTTCAATGAGTTGTAAACGCGGCAGAAGTTTGGAACCCTATTTTAGAAACCTCCTGTATTGTTTAGATTGTGTTAGAATATACCTATTGTTTTTAGAAAGTAGGTTTTTTACTCTGTCAATTCTGTTTGCAGTAAAATGGTTAAAGCTCTATTATTATCAATTTTTTAACTTAGGTAAGTTTAATTAAATCGACTTATTTTGAGCTACACTGTATCTGGTGGAGCGTTGTAAAGACCCTTTGGGGACACCCTGTATATTTAGAATAAGAAATTATTTAGAAATGTGTAGTGATTTGTCTACCAGTGATTTTGAGGATTTACTGTAATAGAAACTTGATTACAATTTTAAACAAATTAATTCCAAAACAATTTTTTCGAAATATGCCAGTTTTAAAAACGTATAAAACCCAAACCAGATCTATTCTTATTGTCAAGGGAATGTACTTTCTTTCAAAAATATATTTCTTATTTTAAGATTAACACTAAATAAATTTACATCAACATTGTTTTAAAATTTTCCAGACAATACTTCTTTTTAGATATATCAAAAACAGGGCAAAAATATATGGCATCTTCCACCATATATTAATAATACTTATACCTATGTATATGAATATACAGGATGTCCAGAGAATAGAGATACAAGTTCCTATGATACTTTTTCGAAAAATAGTTGTCGACAAGATGCAAAAGAACCCCTTTACAACATTTTTCTTAATAAAACCGCAAATAAAAAAATAGTATCGCTACTTTTTTTATCGTTAAAGGTCCTCTAAACCCTTATAATTTTAATGATTCTTTTCCGGTGGCGTAGGTTTCTACCAATAATAAGTTTGATATAAAAATTCTTGGGATAGTTGTAACTTTTTAAGGAAACAAAATTGTACTCAGATATCTTTGTCTTAGTCTAGTTCATTCTTTTCTAAACATCCTGTATTATGTAGCATAGCACAGAATGTAACTTTAGTGTTTTGAAATTTGCTTCAACAAAACAGTTGAAATTATTTTATTGTTATGAAATGCAGTAAATTTTGACATGAATTGTTGTACTTAAACAACATATGAATAGATTAAAAGGACTTTTTTTATAAAAAAATAATAATATCAACATAATCCTTGATATCATATCAAATCTAAGACAAGAATCATTATTTTTTATTTAATCTATTTATAAAATACTGATTTTCATTTAATTCGCTTCTTAAGGCAGGATTTTTGGGGCAGAAAGCCGGTGTGTGTCAGTCACGATAACAAAGAAAAAATAGTCATCGTCATTTTAAGACGACGGTTATCCCTGTCAATTTTAATTGACAGTACATATTTAAAATGGTAGCAGGTTTTCAGTTATAAGATATTACATGTTTCTTGTGCACAGAGATATTCACATAACATTCTGCCCTTCTTTTCTTTATGCCTTTCCGTCTAAAAGAAAATGGAAAAGCAGTTTTCTTGTAAACTCAAAGAAATATTATATAACATAACAAAACAATTGAATGTTGCATTGTCGTTTGCTCTCTTTTTTCTGCTTATAACTCTGCGTTTTGATTAAATAATATTGTCCAGAGTATAAAATATTAAGAATCACTATTCATTCAGGACCAAACAAAATATGTAGCTTAGAATTTGAGATCCTTAGAATTACTATCTTAAAATTTTAAGAATCTAGATAAGCTAAAACTCAGTATTTTTTATAATTTTATCTTATATTAGTTTTATCTTAAAGCTTGAATTGTTTGACGGAAACTATTTTTTTTGTCAAAATACATACTTCGTAAGTTTTTTTACAATACACTATGAATCTATTAATCGTTTTTTAAATCTAAATTATTAATTATAAAACCTAAGTACACCTAGGGTGTGTATACGTGACTGCCGAACTTAGGCAACCAACATAACACGGTTTGTTTACAATGAACAATGACAAACTGTTACGTCTACGCTCGAGATAATGTGATCCCTGATTGGTCGAATAAAATCTCCACGTGAAACAGAATGTCTGTTTTAACTTAAACGTGATCTTATTGTTTTAATAATTATTAATTTAATTGCCAGCGCGAAGGAAATAAAATTATTGCTCCAAACAAAATTGTTGGTCACGTGGCTCGTAATCATTTATGAAGGCTCCGTATCAACATATTAATTTTCTGACGGAGCGCTTTAAAATAATCAAACGTGTCACTGTGTGTAAAATCCGCCTGCGACGCCTATGCATTAAAATCCATAAAGACGGAAGTAAAGCCGTATTTGGCACCGTGTTTATATATGTCCGCCGTATGCGCCTTGTTAGTAGGTACGATGATATAAAACGGCCTCTGTTAGCATAAATAATCAAGTTGGTGTTACGAAATAAAATATTCTACGAGGCGAACAAAACTAACAAAAATAAAAATGCTCTCAAAAATTCGTTTAAAGAAATTTCTGTGGGAAAGTAAATAAAATACATACCGTCTTCTGATAGGGTGGAATTGGTAGATGGGCTTATGGTACAATTGGTGTAGGAGGATCTTTGGGAAGCTTCTGCATTATCTGGGGAAATACTCGTTAAATTTCCTAAAAAAAAAAATATGTTAAAAATGTAACGTAAAAAAAATTTTGAATATATATATTTTTAATCTGGTTTTGTTAAAAACTGGAAAAGCCTGAGGACGAAAACGTAGCCAATTACATACACTCATATCTCATTTGCTAATAATTGTCTGATTATGAACCCAAAACTATGATAGTATCAAAAACTGCCCAAAATTATGAAAATAAATTATGTACAGACTGCACTATTTTCCACTTATAATAAGCAGTGTCAGTAATTAATTAATTTCTCATCTATTGGCAACCCTAAAGCGTCCTAGATTTTTAAAGTGAAACGGAAATTTTATAAATTTAAAACTTCTATGTTTTGACTACTTTCAACTACTGTTTAAAGTTATATTTTAAATGGTTGTACTATATTTCCATAATGTTTCACTGATATCTGAGATTTCTAGTCCGTTGCCGCTTAGATTGGAAGTACCTCAAGGTTCCATATTAGGACCCTTGTTATTTTCAATTTATATATCCGACTTTTAGTTTTATTCTATATAGATATTGCTATAACATTAATATATTTCTGGCATTTTCCAATGTTCTTAAATTAATTGAATGTGGAAGTTCCTTTCTAAATAATTACTTACTATTTTCTTATAAGAACACTTATAAAGTGTCGTTACTGTGGTTGAATATATTTAAAAACACTCGCATATGTTACCGAAATTACATAAGAAATAAAAGATAAAATTACCTTCCTTAACAAGGGTAGAAGGGGTAGAGGAACTTGAAGAGGTCGGTGATTTTTGGGAAACTGCAAAATTGCTCGGAGGTGTGCTTTTCGAACTACCTGCAACAGAAAATAAATGTAAATTAATTAGTGCTTACATTGTTTTCCAAGTAAATTAAATTCACAGTAGTTCTTAAAAAAACAATAGATTGGTTAAATAATCATCAGTCTTCGGGCATTGCAATTTATACAGGGTGTAAATAAATAAGAAACAAACAATGAACATTTAATATAATTTCTATTAGTTTGTAATAATTTGTAATAGTTTGTTTTTTTTTTTCACGTATTTAATACAGTTATTGAATTAATTATAACAATTAAGCTGCCATTACAAATGTCAAAGTGACAGCCGCCTACTAGATAAATTACAGTTCGATAAAATTTCTAACCTATGCCAATCATGCGCTGTAATTGGTTTACATTTAAATAAATTTTTTGTTCAGAAATGTTAACTTTACGAAAAAATTACAAGATACCTTTTTAGTTTAGAATGAATCAGGCTATTTGAAATGAATTCTTAAATGGTAAGGTAGTAATAAGAAAAAAGTTATATATGAAACAAGTCTTAGGGGTGGCTTTTTCTACCCCTTACAACCATAGGGGAAAATCAACAAATTATTTACTGAGTGCCTTCTCGATAGCAGAAAATGTCTATTTAATTGAATTTCTGCCACTTTTTTGGTATTTCAGAAAAAAATAAAAACTACTTTTTTGGCACCCTCTTTAAGCGGTTGTATTTTTAAGGGGATGTTTAAATGATTTTTTTTTAATATGAAATACCCACCTTATTTTTCCACAGGGAATAACCCTCTGAATTTTTCGCATTTATTTATTTACACCCTGAATAAAAAATAAAACAGTAGTTTTTCATTGAAAAATTATTATTTTATTGAACCTAGCATAACCTATATCTCATGTCGCATAACAAAAAAGGTGGAAGTAAAGAATGACATATTTTTTCAAGAGTTCGCCGTAATTTTAATCGTAGATTTAGACTATGCTTGCAGGAAAATGGAAATTACTTCGAAAATATCCTTTAAAAAATCTTTTTTTTTATTGTCAACCAATCGTTTTCTCTTAAATTATCTATTGACTGTTGTTAAGTGACTCTTGGTTTTAGTTGTTTTGCTCTTTTTTCTAAAATTATTATACTAACAATAAATACGTATTTTCAATATTTTTTCTCCTGAACGTTATTTCATATGAGATTTCTTTAATGCCAGGGTTTAAATAATTTCACATGCAAAAGAAAATGTGTTTTTTAATAAAGACACCGAAAAAACAATTAAATAGAAATTATGCAACAAGTGTAAAATATGCTAAAATAATACGCAAAAAGAGTAAAATAAATTTAAAACAGGAAAAATAATGTTGCCTTAGTTGATTCCTGCGCCCCTTTTGCTCGAATTTTAAAATACAGGTACACAACTAATAAGTACTGTGAGGCAATGCGTTCTGAATTTATTAACAAAAGTGTCTGTTGTCTGTTTATACCTTGGTATTCGTGGAGGTATAAATCCGTAACACTAATTTATGAAATTAAAAATATCTTCTCAACGGTTGGCTTTAGCCATTTTCAATAAGTACGCCTTTTTTGTTCAAACAAGTACAAAATTTCATATTTTGTTACTAAAAGCTGTATACGGGGGTTGGCAAAAAAGTTACTACATATTCAATGCATAAAGTTACCTGCAGAGGACAGGACACTCAAAAATCATTATTATATTATTTTTCCCATCATTAAAAAACCTCTCTGTTGAAAATTTGAAACATTTCTGACTAAAATTATAGAAATTATTAAGGAAAAACCATTTTTTATTTTTCACCTTGACTTGACACCTTGTATCTTTTTTATTATGCGACTTGGGATGTAGGTATGTTAGGTTAAATCGACTTATTTTCACCCAACTGGTATAATTTGTGCCTTTCCATTTAAATATACCCTGTATATGTTTATACAGAGTGTAACTAAAATACTTAGATAAACTTAAACACAAATATATAAAAAAATAATTCTATAAAAATATAAGTTGTTAATATTTCAATTGTAGCTTAGAATTCATTATCAAGGCAGATATTTGGTATAGGCAACCAGTATTACTACAAACTTGTGTTTAAAAACTTCATAACGTAGGCAGATCTGGTAGATACTGTTAAATCAAATAAATTTATGAAATAATTTATTTGGAATCAGTTTGCAAATAGGTAAACGATTTGAATAGATGACATAAAACTAAATTCATTAATTACGATCTTGATTAGATTGTTCAAGTAGGGTGGGGTAGCAAATGATCTGTAAAACGCAAATTAAGATAGCATTAAACGACCGGCAAGCAATTAGTTGATTGTGATCTAATCATTAATTTATTTATTTACTGCATACAACCCAAGTGTAAAATTAAAATTCCAAGCAATGCAAACAAATTGCAATTAAATTTACATATGAAGGCTAACCGCTTTGAATGCCGCTCTGGCATTCGATTATCCCATCTAGTTTTATGCAATTTATTTGTTTGAAATGGATTGACGGTTTACATAAAAAAACAACAAGAATGAAGTTGTAAAATAAATACGACTTCGTTATCCCAGAATGATACTTAAAGATTTATTTTTTCGTTGGTTTCTTTCTATTAGGTGTCATTAAATGTGCATATCAAGTTTAGTACCCTTGTTATTTTACATGTAAATTTGGGATATATCTTATCAGACGCCATTAGTGTCAAGTGCTAATTAAGTTACGTATTAAGTCGTGAAAAATGTATAATTTAACAACAGAATTACCAAAAAATTCGAAGTAAACTAGAACGTCGCCAAAGTGTCCGTAATTGACAATTGCAGAGAAAATTAGAGTCAATTTCAGAGACACGGAATAAGTATATTTTTCTTTCAGCAAATAAAAAAGACGCATTTTCTAAAAATTTGTACCAACAAAAAAAATGGTAAAAAGAAAAAGATTATTGCGGGTATTCTTTCATTCTTGACATTTTCATTTAAGGGGGCTATTTCTGTATAGTAAAACCCATCTAGTTCCAAATACCCTGTATATGATAAGATTATATATTTCTGTCTCTGTTGATTTAGATATTTTTTGACCTTGAGAAAAAATATTAAAGTAGTAAGACATCACCCTTATTCTTCAGCTATAAGGATATTTCTTTTCGAAACTCACGTTTTTAAAAGGAAACAAACAAAAAATTCACTTCCGAAAAACAATCTGTTTTTGTTTTTAATACTAGGAATGCCGTTTCATTTTGAAATTGTTTTAAAGTTTAAATTTTGTTTATTTGCTTCTGTAGTTATATATACATAGGAAACTAGACGTACTATGATTATGGGGTAAAAAGTCTAGTAACAAATACGGCCAAAAGAAATTGATTTAAAATATTTTCAAGTTTATAACTTCACCGCTAGAGGGGGCACAACTGCTATAGTATTACAGAAAATTGTCGTTTTTTCGAAATTTCGCTCATATAATCTAAGTTGAAAATACACTTTTTAGATACAGTGTTAAATCCTTCACAAGTTTTGTTTGAACTTTTTTATTATTACTATAGCAACGCCAGTATGAAGGACGCCATCTTTAAATTTTTAAATTGTCGTAACTTCTAAATGCCTTAATCGATTTCAATAAATGAGGGCTCATTTTAAAGAACTATTAATAAAATTTATATTTATGATATGGGAATAAAAATGTTATTTTCTTGCGCAATGGTAGACGACGCTACTTAGAAAAGTTTTGTAATTTGTCTGTTTACTAAAAAAATTAAATGCAACGATATAGTTTTTTTTCCACGGCTTGATAGACCATTTACTAAGGACAACAAATACACAAACCGGAGGTCGATATCTTTTTTCGTGTTCAAGTTCAAAATACTTGCTTTATTTTGAATTTTTTTAAATATGTAGGTACAATTTTTTTATTAATTTCAAATATCTGAATATTTATAAAGATTATTGTTTCCATGACGAAGCAAGCTATGCCTTTTGAAAATAGTCAACTGAAAAATTATGCCAAATGAAATGTGACAGCTCTTGCTACGTGCAGAATTAGTGTTATTTGTGTGGGAAATCTACTTGTGAACAAGGAAAATGTCTTTTACGAATGTGGAAGCGTATTATATGTTGACATTTTATTTTCAATATTTGGAAAATGCTCCAAGAGACTATACTTTGCGATACCCTCGTAGAATACGCTATGCCAGAGAAATATTTCACCGTTTAGCCAGGCGCCACTACATTCTGTAAGAAAATATCGCCGTGCAAGAACGGAAGATAATATTATTAATGTGTTAGTTTGTTTGTGTCCAAGTAAATCCCCAAATAAGTGTTAGGGACCTGGAAATTTCATATGGAACACATGTACTTTTCAATATTTGTTGCCTTTGAGGATCCAAGTCCATAAAGTAATTAAATACACATATTTTGACCGAACCCCATTGAAATATATCATCGTATTTAAATTTGACATTTTACCAGTAATGAATTAAATATTTAAATAATTAAAGAAAGGAGTAACTTAATGTTTGAATATATATTCCAAAAAACACTGAATACCCTGGAAATTAATAGGCATAGTGACAAAGCGGAATATTTTCCGAAACTAAGTAACTGAAGTTTCATAAAATATTCTTGACTGATTATTTTTTTCTTTTTCAAGACTAAAGCTGTACCACAAACAAATAAGTTTGAATTATAAAAGTATACATTGATATTCAACAAATATACACTATTTTTTATCGATTGACAAGCACAAGCAAAAACCAGAGGTAATATATTTCTTTAGTTCGATGTAATATATAGTAAGAGAGCATTATCGAGAAGCTTGAAGGAACCAACAGAGTACTAACCTTCCTCTCCTCGTCAGTCTGCTAACACCAAGAACTACAACTAGAAGTGGTACCGAAACGCGAGTAAACAAAAATAAACTTTAAGGCGGTAAAGAGGCAAACATTCTACCTAACGACGTGTACCGAGGTAGACAACAACAAACAACATGTGGTCAGTCGACAATAAATGCCGTTTCAGCGAAAGCCGATCGTGAACTATCTGTCCTGATCAAA